GGTGGGCTAGTTCAAGAGATGGCGCACATAGCTAATGGTCGCGATCCAGGCAACTGTGTCTCCCTACTTCGCGTAAATGTAAGTCTCGATCGATGTTATATATGCATTGAAAATATGTGTATTCTAGAAAATATACTCTCGTCATGCTTTGTATTGTCAGATTGTGGAAAACTGTCTAGGTCAGTTCTTGCCTGAATGTACTCCTAAATCATAGTGAATATTCTCTTGACTAGTCTTTAAACACTAGACAAGCTAATTAATGGGGTGATTTGCAGAGTGCAAACTCAAGCCAAAGCAATATGCTGATACTTCAGGAGAGCTGCACTGATTCAACCGGGTCATACGTGATTTATGCACCAGTTGATATCGTAGCCATGAATGTTGTGTTAAGTGGTGGAGACCCAGATTATGTTGCACTTCTGCCCTCAGGTTTTGCCATCCTTCCAGATGGAGCTGCTGGGTCCGCAGGAGGAGGAATTCTTGATGTTGGCTCTGGTGGGTCTCTACTCACCGTAGCATTTCAGATCTTGGTTGATTCAGTTCCCACTGCTAAACTCTCTCTGGGATCTGTGGCCACTGTTAACAATCTAATTAAGTGCACGGTTGAGCGTATTAGAGCCGCAGTTACATGTGACCAAAATCCATGACAAATAAAAAGCCTAAATACATGGTGAGCAAGAATGGTGGGTTTACTTCGAAATTGAGTTGGGTTACAAAAGGGAAAAAGTCAAGAACGCACCTTATAATATCCTTGTCTTGTGGTGTTTTGGTCAGATTTTGGAAACCCTAATCACCACCCCACAAGGGTAGCGGGTTCGGGTATTGACTTTCCCTAAACTACGGGAAAAGTAAGCTCAAGACTTTGTTAATTGTTAGTTATTGTTCACCTTAAATTTACTGTTTTGGTCTTGGATTAGGACTAGGGTTATTAGGGTTAGGGTTCGCCGCAGGGTTGTAATTTTATGACTGTCTTAATTAGCTTCTTTTCTCTACTCATGTTTATGTTTAAAAGAGGTTAGTTGGACTTTTGAAATCACATTAACAATGGTTCCAGTTTCAAATAATTGTTTGTAGCTTTCATAGTAATTTTATTTGGTAATTAATTAATCATATTTTTAGGAAAGAGGAGTAGATCATCTTACATGTACTCCAATACTTGAAGCCTGACGAGTTGACAAATAGATCTGAATCGTGACAAACTAATATCTTAATTAATATAAATAAAAAAACCAATGCTGTACAAACCTATGACTTTAAAAATAGAGGAACGTGAATTTGATATCGAACTATATGTTGAAATTTTTCTCTGAAAATTTTACCCCTAAAAAATTAAACTCATTGGAGTAAAATGTAGTGGTAGAACATTCTTGGTTGTATGTTGGATTATTAAAAAACAAAAAAAAGGATCTTGGTTGTAAAAATATATATATTATCAATTGACCCAAATTCAACGTTCAGCTTCTGGTCCATCCGAGCTAATTAAGGACTGTTTTGATTGTTGATCTTCCTCCAAAGTTAGTTTAGAATACATAGCAATATTCTAAGTGCACCAGAACTTGGAGGATACAATGGTTAGTATTGCAAATCTCTATTCCATCGTCCCAAGATATACACACTGTAGCACCTCGGCTTTTACGGAATATCAAAAACCCAAATTTATGGTTTTAGCCAAACGGTTGTTGAGGTATCATTCAATCTGTAGCAGAAAATTTCAAGGGCCCCCATGAAATATAGAGATACGTGGTGTTAATTGCCATCTTGTGGTTGTGGTACTAGTAGTTCTAGAGGAATCATTTGTATTTATATTCCAATGCCCCATTCGACCTGTGAGGGAATAAAGTCATCCCCAGACTTGCAATTACCTACTGATGAATTAATAAGAAACTTCATTTGCTGCAAGCTTCATATTCAGTTTATGTGACTCATATATATACATGTGTATGTATATATGTATGTATGCATACAAGGAATTACTTTAAAATTCAAAGAGTTTTAAGGACTTCCCAGTTCCAAATATGTTTGAAGTTCTTCAAATCACAAATGTATTTGAACAAAATGATGCAATCTTAGATTATATATGATGACCAAACAAGTTAATTATCTCCAAACAAACTACTCTAATCCATATCGCAACCAAGGACGGAGCTAGCAAATTTCGTAAAGGTGAGCTATAACTACAGCCTTTTTCAAAGAGTGAATTTCATTAAAATTAACACTAAAATTTTACAATTCTAAATTTTTGCTCTCGACTGGAGTCCAGTCCACCCTAATTTAAGGGTGGCTACACCCTTGTTTGCAACAACACTTGTAACTCTAGCTAATTATACGTCATTTTCAAGTGTGATTTCTATCAAATATATGCATGGCAACGCGCGTAAGGACGGACTTATCAATTGCAACATATTACTGTGGTGCCATTTTCATTTCTTCGATTTCTTTTTTATGTTGGATTTTTGGTGTCGTCATGTTTTCGAGTGGTTAGGGACAACAGATGCCTATCGATGCAAGCAGCCTCTTATAATGCCGCATGACAGTAGGCTGGCAACTGCACAGACTACAAATATATGGCATTGACTCTGTGCACCCAACAATATTAAATATTACTGACTCAAAAATACAAAAAGGAAAGCAGTGTCAAATTTTATTTTATTTCTTTCAAAAGCAGTGTCAAATTTTCATGGTAGAGGTAAGCTATACCTGTTCTACGAATTTATATAAGATCAAACGTTATTTAATATTGTTTGTACTTTCATATGTATAGTAACAAACATCTCGGCTCGCCACCAGTGTTAATTAAAAACAATGGTTGTGAAGTGCAGTACGTATTTATTCATCCAATGATATTATTTAGGAAATTTTAACGAAAAACTTCTGGTACTGTTCATTTTAATGAAAAACCATATTTTTACACTAAAAAGTCAATCCTGATACTATTCACTTTACCCTTTATTTTGTTTTTTTAGTTAAAACTCAAAATTTTCAGGTCATTTTCATTAGTTTTTCCTATCATTTACTCTCATAAATTTACGTGTCACAAAAAAAATATACATCGTTTTAAAGGAGGCAAAGAAAAGCAAAACAATATATATAACTTATATGTGTACCTTATATTTTGACCATCTATGTATCTTCTTCTCCTCCTCCTCCTCCTCACTCTATTTTCGGTTGCCTTCTTTCTTGTTATATATGTGTGTGTGTATATATTATAATTAAGGAAGGCATAGAAATATATGGTGTGGTTAGAGAGAAGTGTGCACGGTTGTGCATTTATTGAGTTCATGGGATGAGTGGTACTGGTTAGGTTTTGCTTTGGTGCTTTTACTGATGTGAGAGTATGAGTGAGGTACAGCGAGTGGTGGTTCTAGTTAGTTCTTTAACCAATTATGTGGTTATTGGTTGAGGAGTTCTTAAACCACTAAATATGATGGAGGTGTTCGAAGGTAAGGATTTGCATTTGACTGTAAGACTAAATATGTTGTTCGCAAGCAGAAAGCTTTCTACCGAAGTGGCAGAATGTAATTATGTTTATACATTCTGGTGCAAGTTCGATCTCTATTGATCTTCTTAACAACTAATATATTTTTTTATATTTTAAATTGTAATTATGGTATTTAGTGGGATACATTTTTATATAAGATTTATTTCCTACCATATTTAGAAGGGACCTATTTAGAATTAGTGGTTATTGTTTTTCTTTTGTCATAGATTTGTACTAGGTGTGTGTTTCTAAAGGATCGGATCGTAAAACGTTTTAATTTCCGTTCTAAAATTTTGAAATTGGATCGGATCACAATTTTCAAATTCAAAATTTTTGGCATATTTAGAAATTTCAGAATCAAATTAATCCCGGAAATTTCGGACATAAATCGAAAATTCATATATTTTATAAGGTTTTGAATATTTTTTAACCTTTATGCACATGTAATTTATTATTATTTTTCTTAGTATTTGGTATATGGTTATGTGTAAATTCAATTAATTGTGTGGTATACTAGTATGTGTATCCCTTTTAATATATAAATGTGAGTTTAATATCAAAACAATGAACAAAATGTTCGGAACAGTTCGGAAAAATTCAGAAGATTATTTACTAAGAATAAGTTCGGAACATATTCGAAAAATTTGGATAAGAAATTCAGAATTCTCTAAATCTCTAAATACATTCAATTTCCATTCCAATTTGTCGGATTCGAAAATTTTATAGTTAAAATCGGAAACATGTATCTTTCTGCACCCCTACTTTGTAATTTGTACACTATATATTTACCTCTTACGAAGAGAAGAATTACATCAAAAGATACCTACATAAACTTAATTTTTGTAAAATTTAATATCATATTTGATTGAATGTATTTATTTATTTTTTATTATAAGTGATATTACTGCTCTAATTTAGACCCAGAAGAGGTGAGATGGTTTAAACTCGAATGCAATGGATTGAAGAAAAATGTCCTATTCACTAGGACAATCCACATATGAAATATATCTTTTAACATAACTAGATATTGAACATTGTCATGCATGGACTGAAATAACCTCAACAAACAATTTAGCCCTATGATGCAATGTAGATCTATGGAATCACTCTATCTAAACTATTTTGATGTTTTTTTTTTTTTTTTGAAAAACGAGATTATCTACACTAAGAGGAAATTGATGAGCTTAGTGTCACTATTTTGATGTTATATGATTAGAAACAAGTTATAGATTTAATCGCAAAAAATATTATCTCCCTTTTACCCTCTTATTTTTTGGTACAAAAAATATTCTTAAAATAGACACTTATTGCGTGCAAATGACTAAAAGAAAGAGCTGCACGATGGTTACTCTAATCAATTTCATAACACTAAGGGTAATCAACCAAGTAACATATGATGTACCACCCTGTGTTCCGGTCACACTGAAAAATCTCCCCACATTAACTAAATTCTGATATACATTGATTTTCTCTACATTCCATAGCGCTATGTAAAAAATCAAAACAAAATAATAAATTGATATGAGCAGAACTATATTAAAATTTCATGGGAATCCAGAGTACAAACTAATTTGGTAAGTTCAGTAACTTCATCACAATTGCTATCCGGAAAAGTCATCAGGATCCAGTGTACATTGTAATTTGTAACGACTCTAAAAACCAACTCAAAAGGAAAAAGGAGAACGAATTTGACACATGGCATCAGCATCTTCACACTTGGATTACACATTAGCTTCCATTAACTTGATTTTCTGAGAAGAGCAAGCTATGAAGCATTGAGGATGTCTTTTGCTTACAGGAACTACCATTGAGCACTCCCCTGCAGAATGTACAAGCAAACATACACAAAATATGGATTGCAGAAGTCCCTCAATTAACAGAATTTGATCCAACGGTTCTCCCTACTCTCTCGAAACATGCTACAACGAAAAACCAAACCACCCCATCCCACTTTTATCAAATTTAACAGATGGTCTAAACTCAAGCCTGAAAGGATGATAGATTTTGGTTTTATGATCCCCTTCTGGTATGTTTGGACAGCAAATGTAAAAGTGCCAGTAAACAATATGGCAAGAGAAGCTGTAACCTTTTGCTGCAAGATAATGTGCATGAGTACAAATTCCACCATACATATACAAGCTGGCTTGAAAAAGCCAATGTGATGCATACTCCAACAATGAAAAAAAAAAAGTTGAGAGAATACCATAAAAAAGAAGAAACTCATAATGTTACAGTGAACTCGGAAGTCGATCTAACTATGTTAACTCCGCAATCGTTTTCTTTGACTACCCTCTTCAATAATTCCCTGCGAGTCAGAAGAAAAGAGTTCAAAATAAGCACATAAATTTTCAGCACAGCTTGCAGAAACCGAGTATGTCTCTGGTGCATGCATATGACATACTATTACATATCCAGCTTTTCCATTCTTATCGGAAATATTACTAGTAAAGCATAACACATTCAATCCTAGTAATCACTAACATCCTATAATAGCATGAAAATAATTGGGAGTCACATGCACACCATAATATTCAGAAAAACCATTGTCAGATAAGATTTTCAGGGAAGCAGATACAAGCAATGAAAATTACAATGTAATAGGGAGACATACCCCTTGATCTTGTCCAAAACCTTCAAGGGAGACCACACTTGACTCGGATCTGCATTTAGCATGCACAATAGGACCTAACTGTGACCTATCCATGCCTCCTGTTGCTCCGTCAGGTGCATTCAAGTACACAGCATCTTTATACATCCATTCCTCTGTCTCGTCACTATAAAATTCATCAAAAGTCTCTCCACATAATGCACACGAATTCTGATCCTCATCGGCAGGAACAGCCATTTCTTCATCACTCTTCTTTTCCACTATGGTCTCAGCAGGCAAAAATCCAGGGACTGCCTCGGTACCCAATGCCTCTGCACCAGTGAGCCACATGCTTGTATTTACAAACCATTTGCGAGAGGGCTTCTGCTTGCGGTTTTTAGACATACGATTCTTTGTCACATGCCAATCCATATGACTACTGTGCTCTTCTTGGCACTTGAACCTAAGGCCACAGGTTGTGCATTGTCTAGGGAGATCACCATATAGGGCACTTATTACAGATTCATGACGCACCTTGAGAAGGTCAGCATTAAACTCGACTCCTACAGAATCCTAAACATTTAATAACTTGGTTCAGAATCCCCAGCATATATCAACTATTCCAAAAGAAAAATATAGCAGGATGTCATGTAAATACCTGGACAGGGCTTTGATTTGTCAATGAGATCAAACCTTGAGCCATGAGAGAACTAATCAAACCAGAATATGCATTCCCGGGCTGGTTGCTAGAGACAACTGAACCAGGGTTTTGGACAGAAAGTATGCCTTGCGAGGGAGGAGGGGGGCCCGGTGGTAGAGGTGGCAAGGGGAACTGCGAAGTGCCATTTGGGTTATAGGGGGTCGGTATGCCCAAATGTTGACGAGGTACGGGACCTCGCAAAGTGTATCCGTGATTTAAGGGTGGTACCACTAAATAAGGTGCCACCTGAGTTTCTGCAGGTGGAAAAATATTCTCCCGTGCCTCCTGACGTAGACGATACTGTGGTTGTAAGGGACGATATTGTGGCATCTGAGTTGACTTTGTTGACCTCGACTCCTTGTTTTCATAGCCATCTAACTGCTGCTCCGGCATGTATAAAGGATTATATGGGCTTTGATTTTTTACAGTATTGCTATAATTTATTGAACCATAAAGATTCCTCTGGTTTTGCATTGCAAAAACTGAGTGCACAGGGGGAGGGTGAGAATTATGCACGTTTACTGGAGGCCTTAAACCCATTGACACTGGCATCCCAGATCTCGAGTCAGCAGTAACGGAGTCAACACTAGAGGAACCCATTCTTGATGCAATGGGCCCATGAAGTTGTGTATCAATATCTCGAGGCTTGTCACTAAAGGCGGACATTTTCTCACCACCTGAATATATACCGCCTGTCACAAAGGGTGTCTGAATATTCCCTCCTCTTCCTTTGGCATTAAGGGGATTCTGCAAAGGCTGCGAGAGATGCAAAGGCATATTCCAGGCGTCTTGAGGGTAGCGAGAACTCAGATTATGATTTGTCTCAGACTGAAATCGAGACACAGCACCCGATGATCCATGACCAAACTGTAAGAACGATATTAAATGTTCAGAGATGAGCTCAAATAAATTGGAATCATTTTTCACGTGACCCCTTAAAGAAAATTTGATAGCAGAAATCAATAAAAGGGAACATACATGATAGAAATGACATCAGTTTGGAATACTATACACAAGAAAAGGCAAGTGGTCATAGACTGATAGCCTGACCGAAACAGAGACTGATTGAATGATCTTCTGGTGCTATAGTTTTATGTTCAGTCAAGCAAAGGATTGGGATTTCAAAGATGGAATTTCAGTGTCAGAAAGTTCCAATGAATATTGTTGTGGTTTAAACTTTAATGCAGTCACAGGTGCAGAAAAAGAATATATGAATGGCAGGTGACCAGGACCTCAACTAAGATACCACTAGACCTAGAAACTGACTAGTCCAAACTACTGCTGACAGACAGTGGGCCCAAAATGCAAGAAACGAGTTAAAAAATAGTTTTAAACAAGTTTTGCACGGCCTAACATAACCCACCCCACAAACCCCAAAAAAAGAGACTTAAAAAATCCCTAATATAAGAAATAAATAATACGGCAGAATAAAAATAGCAGGATATAGGTAGAAATAACATGTAAATATCAGGGAAGCAATTATGAAAAGTTTGCAATCCAACTAATTAAGTGAAGGCAAACATAAAAATCATTTATTTTTTCATGTTAACTAAACCAAAATGCTTAGCAAACTAGTAGAGGGAACATACACCAAGTGGGGGAACTGGATCTTCAGCTATAATAGAGGACCGTTTGGCTGATGGTGGATGTGCCTGACTAGACCAAGTACTCCTAACATCTGGCTCCAAGGAGCTTGCATTTTGTGTTCCACGGCTTGCCCTGTAGCTTCTAGAAGGCGATACAGTTGAGGCCAAGAAATCGTTACCCCTACCATGGTCTGCTAAATTTGGGGCCATATCTTCCCAATCAAACTCTTCCTCTTCAGTATTCTGCCATGACATTGGAGTTGCCTTACGATCTATACCGTTCAGGCCCAGCCGCCCAACTAGCAGAGGCTTATTGTTTAAACTTCTATCCGCACTGTCTTTCCCATATGCGTCAATTAAAGCTCTTGGGTTCTGATGCTCAACTCCATTATATGCAGCAGAAGTCTCAAACCGCTTCTGACTGCCATCAAGATAGTGATTTCTTCGCCATTCATTCGACTCCTCATCTTTACCCATTGCTCCACCAAGTCTATAATCAAACACAGAATGAGATGGAGAAGCCCTCTCAACAAACCTTTTTGGAGACTGTTCTGCTGCATATTCATCAACTGCTGATGGCAAAGACCTATCAAGCCCAATATTTGAAGGCGAAGATGATCTTGCAAGCCTAGCAGTTGAAGATGGGTGCAACTGATTGGACCCCATGGCAAAAGGCGAATGACTCACACTTCCTGTTGAGTTTAATCTTTGGGGTCCAACCTGCAAGGATACAACCTTTGCATTATTAGAATCACACTTGTTATACATAATGGCAGGATTCTAAGAATATACGTTTGACCTTTAAGTTAACAGAATTACAGATTTGAATGCCACAGTTCTATAGAGTGTGAAACAGAAACAGTATAGGCAAGCATCGTATTCAATCAAATGATCAACTTGAATTTCCTTTATGCTATATGCTTGAATTTTCCAAGTTTGGCGAAGTCTCAAAATTTGTTTAATAATATGAAGCTAAAAATACAATTCTAAGCTAGGCCTTTATTTAGGGATCAAATCCAAATTCTACACGGACTTGGAAAATCGTAATTAACAATCCAAGTTCTACTAGGAATTGGATGTCCTACTCGATAAAACCTAAAGGGAAATCACAAACCAACTGGGAAAAGAGAACCCAAAATCCTTACGTTAAAAGAAACCCAAAATCATTATAATAAAAGAAAAAAGTGAACTCTTCTAAAAACATTCTTCATAAATTATCTTTTCTACTGATGATCTACAACTAAAAAATGTTAGCCAATGGAAACATAGATAAAATTTTCACTACTAGAGTAAATGCAGGTTGAAGTGTCTTTTCAGCAGATTAGAAGAGAGAGATTACACGGACAGCTTACACCATCCACAGTTGAGCTGTCCAACTGACGTAAATATTTTGGATTGACATGGATGCCATGAGTTGGTCGAGGAGATTCAGAAGTCCTCAAAGGTGCTAATCCTGATGATTGGTGGTTTACTTGCGGAGAAAATTGCAGTTGCTCTTCAATCCTGCAAAGGACTGAAGGTGGAAACACTGCTGACCAAGTGCCAAAGAGGTGCCGCATGGCAGGATGCTGATTAGGGTGTACTTGCCTGTATGCCTCGCAAAAGACCTAATGCATAAATAAAATCATGTGAACATAGAGTTGTGTGATTACCAAAGAACACTATATATGCATATACTTGAAATTAGGGATAACAGAAGTACAGCTGCAGTCAAGTTATATAACCTCAGGAAGACGGGAAGAGAAAAACTTTGCATATTCTCGGCCAATATTCTTGACAATACTGTCTAAAAGATAAAGTGAAGGCAGTTTATGCTCGACCGGGACCTGCAATAGACAAGTATCACACAATGAGGCAATCTTCAACTTGACTAATGTGTGAAGCACCACAACTTCTTGTGCGGCAGGCCTGACACAGTTATTAAAATTCAACTGCAGATTAATGTTCTATTAGAGTAACAACAATCGACTCAGAACTGCATCTTAAACATATTATCAAAAATTTGGTGCTGATCCTTGTTTTTATCGCAATTCCTGTAGCCTTAAGGTTGTTGATTCAAGAATGGCTAATATTTCCCTGGGAAGTTTTGCTTGTTTGTTCATGAAAACAAAGATTCTGTATGATCAAGCTTAATGAAATCTTCTTTTGCAGGTCATTCTGTTCATAATACTCCATGGAAAACGAAGAAAAAGACGCGAAAGTAAAGATTACAACTTTTGAAGTTGTTCTTCCCAATTGAGTAACATCAAGAATCTAAAATTTAAATTTCTAAGAAACCAAACAGAGAAAAAGATGAACTTGGGCAGCGTGGTAGCAATTAGAACTTTTGGAGTAAAGATTGGTATTTTTACAATTCCTAGAACTCAAACAATTACACAAGTCCAATCTGGGTTGCACAGAAACAGAAAACACCCAAAAGAAAAATCCCCAATTGGCATACACCAATTCAGCAAAGCTCCGTCGAATAATCAAAAGAGGTAGAAGCAACCCGCAGATACCGAAACAGACCTCGAGAATCCGGGCGCAGATGGCGTCGGCAATGCCCTTTCCATGGTCTCTCTGCTCGCCGGCGATGATGGTGAGATCGGTAATGATGGGCTTCGAATTAAAGATAAGTTCCGACAACACCATCTCGTAAAGGTGGACGATTTCCTCAGTGCTGGGCGGCGACACCTCGTCGTCGGGCGAAACCCTCAGGTCCTCCTCCCGCTGCTTGAGCAGAGCCCTGAATCGGTCGACTATCGGAGTCGGAGGTTGGGGCTTCTGAGCTAACTCAGTACCGGGCATGGCCTTTCCGTCGGCGGAGGCGTGCGGAGAAAAAGCGATTCTAGGATTCTCTCGGGAAAGTGTGAGCCTTTCCGAGTCCATGGAAGTTTGGGGAAGAACAGTGGGGAGTGTCGATGTGGGTTATTGGAGAAATTGGGGCTGTTGGGGAAATTAGGGTTATTGAAGAGCGGCTGTGGGTGTCGGCCCACGGCGGAAGGGGGAGGAGGATTGCATAAGAATTAGGGTTTGGCGTTCCCACCACCACCATAGAAATAGAAGAAAACGGCGTGGTTTTGGCTTTTTGATTCTGGGAAGTGGCTTTCCTCGTGACCCGAGAGGTCGCGGGTGTCCGCCTCTTTCCCTCCCTTCACAATTTCCCTTTTCGGCTCTCTTCCAAGGAACGACAAGTCGTTTATCTTGTTTTATTTGACAAAATCAAAATTTCACAATATTTTCCCTTATCCGGGTTTGATTGTTGTTACTTGAATATTTAATTTACCGATGGTTACAATTTAAAGATAATAATTTTTTTATGTAAAAATTCTGAATTATTCTAATTTACAAAGTAATAAAGCAGATGAGTATTTGATAAACTGCATTTGTAAAAATAATGTGAGTATGAAAAGCAATGTAAAATCGTTTATAAATTTTAACTTAAAAGTGGTATAATTGTATACAAGGACAAAAATGAACGCGGTAGTGGGAGTTGTGGTGACGACAGCTAAGGCGACCAGGGTTGGTGGTTGGCGGGTGGCGATGGTAGTGATGGTAGCAGATATGGTAGTGATGGTAACGTCAATGGTGGGGTTATGTTGGTGGTGCCAATAGTGAAATGTGGTGGTTAGAATGCAGAGATAACAATGATGGTAGAGACGGCGGTAGGATAAAGAAATAAAAAGAGAGCAAAATGAGATGTTCACCAACTTAAGCAGATGTCAATTGGTAATATTTTTACCCTGCTAAAAAACAGCTTAAGCCAGTAACCCCTGCTAAGTTACACAAGAGAAAGTCATTGACGGTCTAGTGTCTCCCAGACAATGGTGCAAACAAAATGAAGCTATAAGGATGAAAGTGCAAAAAAAGGGTTATAAACCATGTAAACAATTAACAATGTGAGAAGTGACACAATTACTTATAAAACATGTAAGGTCCCTTCTTTCCCGTGGAATTATTATATACTCTCAATAAGTTTTAATTTTTCAAGTACAAAACTTTATCGCATTATAATGTATTGAAGATGTGGTCAACATAGTTTGCATCCAAAGTGGTTGGATTTTAGGCGTTTCTTTGCTTTGAAGGTTAAAATTGGTTTGGAATTACTTAATTGGAAGCAAAGATTAAAATTGCCAAACACTAAGGTTTTGCTGTACTGTACAGTCTATATTGTCTGTAATTAACAACAGGAACAAGAAGTAGATAGGACTATGGCTAAATTCCCAAATGAGAGGGGACGAGTATTAATGTATTACTTGTAATTGTAAAAGTGCTCTGTTTTGTGAGAAAAGTGCTCTGTTTTGTTTGGTTACATCAATCTTGGGTAGCTTGAATCAAAGTAGGTGAATGAAAAAAGCGGGATCAGTTGCAGACGTAAGCGTAGTTAGAACGAACGTCGTCTCCTTATGCACTTGAAATCGAATTCTCTGTTTTGTAATTTAAATTAATTTAAAGTATAATATCGTTTGTTGAGGTGTTTGGATTTTCAAATAATGATGGCTGAGATTTTTTTAGAGAAGCTAAGAGGGGAAGATCAAAATGGTAGTATTATGCTTCCTGCCTACAACTCTGAAATCAATCAAGCAAGATGCCATGAAGTTTCATATGAGCCACAAACCTCAAATCAAACCCGATGAGCAAAATTAATGAAAAAATGTTGAATTGGGGCCTTGAGGTTACGGAAAAACTTTGAAAATCACAAGTATAACACTAATTTTTTTTAAGTGAAAAAAAAATCAAAATGGGTCTGAAACCATTCTAGTCTCTTCATAACTCTCTGCCTCTGTGAAGAGATATCCTGAAGAGCTCGAGAAAAACCCTCTGCCCCTGCCTCTCTCCCATATATCCCAAGAAAAACCGTTTCAAAAGCTTTCCCTTCATTACCCACCAAACTTATTACGAATCAATCCCAAGAAACTTTTATTCTTAAATCTAGACTCCAAAACCCACCATGCAGATCTCTCCAGTGAAACTCAGAACTCCGGCTTTTGGGTCGCCGGAGTTCTTGAGCAGGAGGTGTCTGATAAAGTCTCACTCTTTATCTCTACCCAATTTCCACAAGGCCCAAAAAACCTCTCGTTCCTCTTCCCTCACACCCCTCACATATCTTCTGGCGAGTGTATCTCATTGGCCGGCAAAAACCAGAAGGGAACTTTCTGCAAGGCCTACGAGGCGGACCAGTCGAGGCCGCTGAAGATCAACATTGAGTTGCCAGACCAGCAGGAGGCGGCTCAGAGGCTGAAAATTGGTTTATACTTTGCTACCTGGTGGGCTCTGAATGTTGTGTTCAATATCTACAACAAGAAGGTTTTGAATATGTTTCCATACCCATGGCTCACATCAACTCTCTCCCTCGCAACTGGGTCGCTCATGATGCTCGTTTCAAGGGCCACCAGGATTGCTGAGGCTCCGAAAACTGATTTAGATTTTTGGAAGACTTTGCTTCCGGCAACTAAAAGGCTGAAAGTGCAATGATGTCCGCACACTTTTTTTTTCTGCACATTATGTTTGTTTCTTTTCTGGTCTTTGAATTGAATGAGCAGAGAATAAGTGACAGAAAAAATCCGCAGAGGCTGCGCGGAAATCATTTTCCTAGGTCTGTTTTCTTAAAATTGTTTTGTATTTGTTTTGGTTATGTGTGCAGGTTGCGGTGGCACATACAATTGGGCATGTAGCGGGGACCATAAGCATGGCGAAGGTAGCAGTTTCGTTCACTCACATCATCAAGAGCAATGAGCCTGCATTCAGTGTATTGGTTTCAAGGTTCTTGTTAGGTGAATCATTTCCTCTCTCGGTTTACCTCTCCCTCTTTCCAATCATTGGAGGATGAGCGCTCGCTGCTGCAACCGAGCTCAATTTCAACATGACTGGTTAGAAAACTTGTTCAAACTTCACCACATTTGATATTGCAATAAAAAATATTTAAGGGTTTTGATAAACTGTGGTTTTGGTGCTTTTGAAGTGTCTTAATTTTTTATGAGGACTAAAAGAATGCTGCTATGTGCATCAGGGTTCATGGGGGCTATGGTATCGAACCTGGCATTCGTGTTTAGGAACATATTTTCCAAGAAAGGGATGAAGGGGAAGTCTGTCAGTGGGATGAACTACTACGCTTGTCTTTCCATGTTGTCTCTATTGATCCTGATTCCGTTTGCCATCGCTGTGGAGGGCCCCAAGACGTGGGCTGCTGGATGGAACACTGCTCTTGCACAGATCGGTCCCAATTTCGTATGGTAAATATACGATGACTTACAACTGTCTGTAAAATTGTTGTTTTTGGTGATGGACATAGAGGACATAGGGGAGTGCTTGAATCATTTTTTTTTTCTTTTCTAACAAGCGATGGTAGTACACTGCTTTAACGAACTTGGCTAAACTCAGATAGTGCTTGACTAAAACATTACATACCTTTCTCCTTGATTATTTTACTTATGAAATCTCTGTACATCTAAATGTGAACAGGTGGGTGGTGGCACAGAGTGTCTTCTATCACTTGTATAATCAGGTTTCATACATGTCACTAGGCCAGATATCTCCCTTAACATTCAGCGTTGGGAACACAATGAAGCGGTCATAGTCTTCTCCATCATAATATTCTACACGCCTGTTCAACCCGTCAACGCACTTGGAGCAGCCATTGCAATACTCGGAACCTTCCTCTACTCACAGGTATGCTTCCCACACCTTATATGAGAGTGTTTGTTAGGAAATTTAGAGAGAGTAATTTGTTTCACATTTGATTAAAAACGGTTCAATATAGCAAATATTAAGAGGCGCGGTTTCTTCTGTTGCACCGAGAGATTTGTACTCAAAAGTCCACATGCATATGCGTTGAGTGGTTAAGCTGGGGACAAAATATGTGAGGAGAATATCTAGTTGCATAGGGTAGGAACCAAGTTGCATCACTCCATAAGATGGGGAGATTTTTCAATGTGCCCGAACACGATACAAGTGAGGGGCAGTATTTTTTTTCAAATGTCCATCCACTTATATAATGTCATATGACGTCTGAGCCTGTATTTCAAGCACACTGAAAAATTTCTCCATAAGATGGGCAGTTTGGAATGTGGAAACATATCTTGGGTATGTGTGGATAACTTTTGTATTTTGTTTTCGTTTTGCACTCTCTGTGCCCATTGTCCATATGGTGACAGGAAAACCAAAGAAGTTGGCCTTATAATTCTTCAAGGGCAGCTAAACAATAAGAGGGCAATCAAATGGACAATGTTTCTAACCTTTCATACCAAGCTGCGAGAGAGACTTGCATACAACAAATTATCTACACTTTTATGTGTCTGTCTTTCTCCTTGACAAGACATTGGGAGAGGGACGACACATAAGTGTATACACTCTTAAGTTATACATACATAAAACGAACACGCACTTTCATTGGATGTACCCTTTAAATCACAGCCTATTAAAATGGCCATCTCCAAAGAGTTGCTTGACTACCCTTTTGAAGTTGGAATTTTTTATGTAGTTATGGCTCCGATTTGGCTAACGATTCCGCTTTTAACTTTGCTTGCAGGGTAAACAGCGAGGAATTTTGAAGATGCCAAAGTTTGTTTGTATGATAGATGATGAAGAGAGACAAAGATACTTATCTGCCTGTGGATTTGAAAGTGTTCAGCAATCGATCACAGGGAGTTTGAATGTGGTCCTCTGAACTTCGTAGTCATGGATTCATGGAGTTGGTTTACAGAATCACGCTCTGTTACTCGCGGATCTGGTTGAATTAGAGAAGAGATTTCATTACGTTCATTGGTTGAGAATTTGTATTGTAGATTTTTGTAGTCAATAAGAAGAATGGTTGTTTTGGGGCAGAATAGTAGTTGGAACTCAAATAGTGTCATTCTATAATTCTATTCAGCAAATACATAATAATTCTATCTATCAATATGTATGGTCTTGGACCATCAATAATGATTTTTTGTTTAGAATTTGGCAGCCTGGTTGATCCACTTCTATTATGTCGATATTAATCATTACTGTTGGAATTTATGGTTCTTATTTAGATCTCAAGCTTTTGAAACATTTCAAACAAGTACCCAATCTATTGAAAATGTCATATCCATTAAGCTCCAGTTAATTTTTTTGTTAAATGTATAGATAGCAATACCTTTTTTGTTTTTTGTTTTTTTTTTTTGAGAAATTAGGCTCTCATCTTTCTTTT